AATGTACATCAATTACGTTTTAGCCGCTCAGCATAGGAACTTACAGGTATCGCGATATCGCGATACCGCGATACCTTCATCGGGCGGCCTCTTTGTGTCCCAGGATTGTCGAAGGAGAGTGAAAGAGAGAGAGAGTAGTATATAGCTTACCAAGCTAGAGACGCTACCCACATTTAGCCAGCATAAGCTTAATAAGTGCCCTACTATCAAAGGAGAGCGAGAGAGACGGATAGAGAAAGAGAGAGAGCAGCATCCACACTATACGGCGTACGCGCCTAGCAAGCTAGAGACGCTACCCCCTCTTCGAGGGCCCACACTCAACCAGCATAAGCTTACTAAGCGCCCTACTATCGAAGGAGAGCGAAAGGGAGAGCATCATATAGCTTACCAAACACCCGACCAACTTCTACAGCGTTCTACCTTAATAACCTCTGTGGGTGAGTGGGTGGGTGGGGGGAGCAGTCTGTCGAAGGGCCCACTGGTAGACAAACAGGTGTCAAACACGTGTCAAACTATCCTAAATACACAACACCTTCATCTTTGTGGCGGCATCTGGGCGGCATCTTTGTGTCCCAGAACGTACACATATCCCTTATACATTAGCGACATCCTTTGTGTCCCAGGACATACACATATCCCTTATACATTGGTGGCATCCTTTGTGTTCCAGAACATACATTGCTTATCTACTGATTTCTTGTTTGTTTGCTCAATCTCCAAATGAAGGTGAATTGTTGATTCAATATCCATCTCTCAATTATTTCTTACGAATTTTCAGAATATGTTTGAAATTTATTGCAAACATTAGCTGGCGCATAGCTAATAAATCGCAAGCTAAGTTTTTTCGAGGAAAAATCAACGAGCTTACAGCGACTGAATTGCATTCAATTCTCAAGTTTTATATTAGATTTTTCCAATCTAGACTTTCTACAAGTGAAATAAAGTTGCTAATGCAAGGAATTCTAATTTCTAACAATAACTATGATTCATCTCAATTCTTTTCTTGATCGAAGGTTTTCTTCGTGTGAATGGAAGAGTACAACATTCATTACTTTATCCAGATGAAAAACATCCGATGATTTTACTACGGCATGTCCTCGGACAAATCCATCTATATGGGTGGCGCGTTTTTCGCTTGTCAGTTGCTGCGGTTAGTGGACACTGACAGTGACTGATACAGTAACCTGAAATTTATTGCCATTCTTAACGTTTAAAAAATAATGGCAAAAAAATTAATAATAAAGGGCTTATATATACGCTTTTTGTATAAATTGATGGATTTGAGGGTATATGCATGTTAGCAGTCAAAAGGTCTCCTTGTTCTCATCTTTCACTTTTAATTGTTCGAAATTCTCACAAAAAGACGTTATATGAAGGAACTCAACTCACTTTATACCATGTCAGGCAAAAATTTTTGATTCTAAATGGTCCACAATATGTAAAATATATAACTGTCAGGTGTATCACGTGTTTGCCTCAATCTGTTTCTCCCAAAACGGAGCTTTCTTCTCGCCATGTTCAAGAGTACATTCAACCATTTCTTCATACGATTGTTGACTACACTGGACCTATCAACCTGAAATATTCTAAAGGTTGCGGTATACGATCGTACAAGGTCACATTGCTGATTTCGTATATATGGCTACTTGAGCCGTGCATCTTGAAGCTGCTTCAGGATATTCAACCGAAGATTTTCTCAACGTTTACCGACGCTTTGTTTCGCGCCGAGATATTTGTGCAACTATCTCAAATGGTTGTAGAACAAATTTTATAAGAGCCGACCATGAGCTTCAAGAGCTTTTGAATGAGGTAGGAAAACAAAGTCAAGAAATTGCGCATCTTCCAGCTTCTGATGGAATAGAATGGCGCTTCATCCCTTCTTCATCTCATTCGGAGGTCTTTGGGAAGCGTCGGTAAGGTTAGTCAAGTTTAATTAAAAAAGAGGCTTTCTTTCAACGGGTTAACGAGTGAAGTAGGCGGTCGGGTGTAAAATGCGCTGGTGGTGCCTCTCCTTTCTTTATCGCGGATGAATTGAGGAGGGTGTCGCCGGACGTCGTAGCAATGGATTACCTCACAGGTATGAACGGGCAGCTGGGCAAAGACTTTCGATACATGCGATCTCGGCCTTTCGTGTCGGCTTTTTGGGTGCACTGTCGGGGGTCTTATCAAGACTTCACTTCGCGGAAGCTCAACGTCTAATTGACCAGCTCTCGGTTACTGACTCGCTCGTTCTGCTTCTCCGCTTCGCCTATTTTTTAAGCGGCGTGCGATGCAGCTCATATCGCACGCTTGCCCTAACTTGCACATACTCCGCTTTCTGTCTGTCTGTCTATTTCTCTCTTTCTCTCTCTATCTCTATCTCTCCATCGCTCGCTCCCACCGCTAGAGCCGTTCGAATGTCTTCGGCCGCTCCTCGGCAATCATCGACGCTGAAACAAAGAGACCAATAATTAGACGTAGACTTATTCCGTATTTAACGCTGGGCAATATATCTTGCCAAAAGCAGAGAAAAGAGGGAGAAAAACTGACCAAAACCAGGCCAACCGCCTACCCCGTCACAAATTTCCATTAAACTATTGTGATATCCAAAAACATGACACATTTTAAAACGCTATATCTTTATGAATTCACATGTAATAAAATCTGGATCAATGTTTACTGTTACTGACTGGTCCTCCGACCGTGCTTCCGTTACCTCCAAACCTCAGTTTATGATAAAATTTCCACTCTAACTTACGAAATCTGTCCCAAAAGTATCCGATCTACTTTGATTTCTTGGCGTTTGATTTAATCTTTGTTAACCGAGGGGTGGCATCCTTCATAGTAGTTCAGTTCTTATCTGATTAAAAAAAAATGCTCATATCAATGTTTCCACTTATTAAAGCACTCTTGAAAAACAGACTTCGGAATCGCCTTTAGTGCATTTGTCGCATTAATTTCAACAGTCTCTTTATCATCTAATTTATGTCCTTCAAGCGGTATTTTAATTGAAGAAACCGAGGAAATAGCCAAAATTTGCATGGAGCTATATCGAGCCTGTATGAGGCTCACGAAGCTGCGCAACACTGTATTTCAATAAATACTGCTGCACAAGGTTTGATGTGTTCGCTGGAGCATTGTTGTAATGAAAAAGCCATTCACCGGTTTCCCAAACTTGGCGTTGTTTTCTCCTGATTGCATCACACAATCTTTTCAAAACTTCAACGTAGTACTAATTGTTGATTGTCTGGCCTATTGGAATATATTCGTGGTATACAAAACTCTTATAATCGAAAAAAACAATCAACATTGACTTGATGTTTAGTCGACTTAAACGAGCTTTTTTTGGCCAAGACTCAGATGGAAATTCCCACTGCGAAGATTCTTATTTTGTTTGCAATATTTCAATAGTTTCTGTGTAACTTTTACTGAGATTAAAGCAAAATGTTATGTAAATTCACTGTTCAATTCATTCTGCCATTTATAGCACAAACGAATTAAGATGAACGCAAAAAAGTCATTGTAAACTAATACACGTTTCGCGGGAACTAAGGTGTTTTATCGGTATCTCGGGCTATTGACGAGAAATTTAGGAGTTGCTGATGATGTTCATACCCTTCCAGAGGTCGCTTGAGTCTTTCCGTACGAAGATATGAATGTAGATCGAATACTTTTGGGACAAACCTCGTATGTCCGACTAATATCCCACACTTTCGCGTTTCTTGCTACTTAACGACATTTATCACTTAAATCTTATTATTTAATCACATCTTCAACTATATATTAATTAATTTCTTGAATTGTGACGGTGTAGGCTGGTCATAGCCTGCACCGTGTATGCCTGCATTCTCTCTCCCAGGCGAAGGCACACGGCTGGCATCAAACGCACGTTATTTTAACGTGCCTGATGCCTGCCTCTTTATTTTCAGCAACGCACGAGAACAGAAGGCGAAGCCATAGGCGCGACGACGCGATCGAGCATTGGGAGTGCGAGAGCGAGAGAGAGAGAGAGAGAGAAGCAATATATGAGTCTAGTGGTTGGGCTTGGCGCGCGGCACTTGTCGCGACTGGCATTGCCGCGTGCCGCCGATTAGGAGGCGAGTGGTGGGAGAAGGCGTGAGAAGCCGGCTCTCACGCACTCGCGACAGTGAGTGACGCGACGCATGCGAGTACAATCGGCCGCATTAACTTGAGTGTTCGTCGCCGTGAAGCCTGCCCTTTTGTTCAGCCAAGCAGCCAGTAGTCTTCCTGCAGATTAGCCGGGCCGGTTTCTCTGCCATCAACAGCGGCAACAGGTTCTCCTGCCAAAACCGCCAGCAACGCAGCAACCAACAGTCTTCCTACCAAGCCGCCGGTGGTGCATCTGCAAGACTGCCAGCGACAGCAACATCCGCCAGCATCGGTCAGGTTATTTGCTCTTCTCCCTCTTTGCATCTCTCTTTTCCTCGGCGATTTCACGGTTCGTGTTGCTGCGCCAGGCTTCCCCAAGCCGGCGTAATTTCCGGCAGTGCTTTAGTTTTATTTTAGAGTATAAGTTGTCGTTTGAGCCGGTTAATGAGACGGCAAGGCGCTCACGTGCCGGCCGTCTTATTTAGATTAAGCGACGATCTGTTGTATTGGCATAAGTGAAATTGTTTAGTTCGTTAGCACTTATGATAGTGTGGTTGTAATAAAGGATGAGTTTCTGGAATATTGTGAAAGTTATTTGCATGCACTTCTCCTTCCTGCTTTGCTAGGAGCGACACACCGCCTCCCTTACCCTCCCCTTAAATAATTCGGTAATAGTAGCGAAATTGTTGGCATTGAAGGCCCACGCTATTACAGAATATACAAAGTTATTTGATATAGTTTACGATAAAAATATTTAACAAAAACAGAGCTGTAACAAAAAGATGTATGTGCCTTCTAACGATGTTTTATCTGAAATTTATTATTCTCAAATTTTGTATCCTTACCGTCAATTTTTCAAATTTTTTAACGAATAAAAATATTGAATGTTTGTGTATGTTTTCAATTTTCAGAAAACAATAAATATTCGGATCAATTAAGGAATGATAATAAGTTGTACAAAATGCAGAAACAGACATTATGTTATTCTCAACCTGAACTTCCGCCAGTAGGAATTAATAATCTAACATGTATGAAATTGAATGAGCGAACGGGTTTATCATTTTCACAACCTATATACGTAGAAGATTTATTAGTTTCCAGTCAACTCCAACCGATCAATACTCAAGCTAGTCAGGTAAATTAACATGCTTTCGTATAAATGTATTTATATTCAAAATATTTCATATGAATCTTATCATTTCCAGGGTTCTTTTCAAAATTTAGTTCGACGAATGACACGATTTTTCGTGACAACAAATTGTCAAAAAACTGTAAAAATAATAACAGAATGTTTAGTAAGAGAAAACTACAATTATCGGATTAATGATATTGGAACGGTAAGAAGTAACGTACTTTAAAAAATTTATATTTTTATAGATATTTAGCTCAAATTTCTTTTATATACATGAGAAATTCTTTGTCAAATGGAACAAAGTTCTGTCTAAGATTCACATGGATGGTTTTTAGCTATCAAGGGCTCAAATTGAACCTTATCAACGCCCCTTCATGAACTCACATGGCCTTTTCGAAAATGTTAATATGATGGCTCAATATGGCGATCATAAAAATGGAAACCTCAAATATATAAACTTGTATAAAAAATTTTTAACGTTCTATTCAATTGATTAATGCTTCAAATTGTGATATTTGGCATTCCTATAGGGTTAACAAGGTAAAATGATGAAATTCCAAATGGCTGATCCAAGATGGCGGCTAAAATAAAAAAAATTGTCGATATTAAAAAAAACATTGTCAGATAGATACCAAATTGAACCTGCGGAAGTTTTCTAAGTCGCTAAATAAGAATCCGTGGTAAGTTTTGCTAAATTCAAAATAGCGGATTCAATATGGCGTTAACACATCCTCAAACCCAGCTAAATTAAAAATAATTAAGCATAATCGTCTTGTTGATGAACACATAACTGCTTTCATGGTAACTAAATAAAAATCTGGATTTCGACTTTCACAATTCACAACAGCGTATCCAATATGACAAGCATCTTGAAACCCAGCTAAGTATACAATCGATTATAATCGTATTGTCAATAAACGTATAACAGTTTTTGATATCACTGACAAGGAAACCATCCCAACTCGACCTCACCGATTTTAATAATTTTTTGATATGTTGAGTAATCAAAAAACTAAGAAACATGTATTTTGTACCATTTCTTTTTGTATCGACAGTAACTTTTAACAGTAGAAAGCCGTTTGCGACGGGACAAAGGGAGGGGAAAAATAAATGTGTGCTAAAGACAAGACAATTCTTTCTCCGGCCTCAACCGGTCGCCAGCGGCGCAGTCAGCCGATAATATGTGCAGCTTTTATTTGTTTGAGTTGGGCGCTAGCTACCGTGCTCCCGAGTTAGTAGAGCAGGTAGCGCTGCAACATCGGCTGTCGCGGGGGAACGGATTGACGATGCGGTGATGGTCGATCAGCGTTCCCTTCCTGGTCACTGGGGTTTGTCGGATGGTTTCTCCGTTGTCTCCTTCCTCGTAGTCACCGTCGTGCGCCGATCTCGCGCGCAAGCACCTATGGGAGATGAAAGAGGGAGCGCCAAATCCTATACGGGATCGTTCGAGAGAATACCGAACGGAAGAAGAGCGGACAACGGGTGGTTTTTAGCCACCCACGGCTGCGGTTCGTCGGTTAGTCGGTGTTACTCGGGGCACGAGGCTCTCGCCTCGGGAGCGGGTACATCGGATGGCGTCTTCTGGACGCCTCGTTGACAGGCCAATAGATAGGAGAGGTCCCCTCCGGTTTATCGTCGACTGGTGGCGTAGTTCGCACGACAACGGTCATCATCGGAATGGCAATAAATCATACGTGCGTGCGCGCACGCTCGATAATCTCAGGACCGACCGTGAAAGCTACAGGGGATGAGGTGGTTAAGCGGGCAAAGTCAATAAGAACAATAAATTAATATGGACTCGAGTTTATTAAACCAATTCAAGAAATCCCCGGGTCAATCCAAGGTCAATCGCTCGCGATGGTCTACCTTATCTAATCCAGTAGAGGTAGGAGTGGCGCACCGCGACGCGACGTCGACTTGGGCGAACGATAGTTGATGCGAACGGTCTCGATGGATTGCGAACGCGCAGTTATGCAATATCCAAATTATCTACTTCGCGCACTAAAGCTCAGGAATTTATTCAAGTAAACACACACGCGCGGAATCGGTTAGTCGAACGAAGGTCAGACGCGACTCGCGTAATATATCCGATCGGCTTCACAAATAACTTCGTTAACGCGCGTATGCGATTCGTCGCCCGCGCGAAGGTTGCGAAGGTTATTCGGCAATCAACGGACAACTACGCAACGAATCTAGAACAACTAGCGTACACGGGTGAATCGGCGGTCACGCGAAGGTCAGGCTTTGTCTAATCGCAACCTACGGGAAAGTCGTTCCAAGAAATCGGCAATAACTACGTGTACGCGGACAATCTTACGTTACTCGTAAAACGGGGGAAAAGCTCATTATCAATTAGCAAATCGGTAAGGTTAGGCGAAAATTTTACGGCACATAAACGCGCGCGTGAAGAATCCGCCTTCGGACACTAAACGGAACAACGGCGCAACAAAGAAATTCGCCCGGAAGGTCAGCGAAGAAAATGCGCGCACAAGTGAATCGGTCGGACGCGCGAAGGTCATACGGCACTCCCGTAAACGCGGACGTTCAGCAATCACGCGATCTAACAAAAAAATAAGCGTACTTACTCGGGCGCCTTTGTGACACAAACGCGACTACGGCCACCGCCGCTAATGCCGCCGTAGCTACCGCTACTGTAGCTGCCGCTGCTGCTGCCGTCGCTGCTGTTGCTGGTTACCGCTGCTTGCTGGGCTGCTGTTTGCTGCTACTGCTACTCACTGCTCACTCTGCTTCGCTACTTACTCTATCTGCTTCGCTGCTTACTCTGTCTGCTTCGCTGCTTACTCTGTCTGCTTCGCTGCTTCCTCTGCTTCGCTGTTTACTCGGCTTCGCTGCTCACTTTGCTCACTCGTGGATTTATGTGGCTGGTCGGCCCCAGCACTCGGCGGGTACTCGGGTAAAGGTCCTCTGGTCGGCACCAGGGCTCAGTGAGTATTCTGGTCGGCACCAAAGTTCAACGGGTACTGGGGCGGCGTTTTTTGGCGACGCGCCGCTTCTCTTAGCTCATCTCCCCTTAACAATTGGTCGGCTTGTTGCTAAGCCGGATGTCAGCGCCGTCTATATCGGTATTTTTAGCCCGCGTAATTTTATCATTGGTCGCGTCTTGGCGCTTAATTTCCCTACTGGTTGCGAAGATAGCGTCGGTTTCATTCTATTTGTCTAGCTACCCTTAAGCTGATAACGATTGGCTAATCCGTTAGCGTCGCTTGCCTATCCTTGTCTATCTACCGCTCGTTGGTCTTACCGATTCTTCTCACTCGCGTCCGATCGGTCTCATATCGGTTGTCTCGCTCGCTCTCACGCGCTCGTTTGCCCCTACTTTGGTCTAGCCAGGTTTGCCTTAGTTAACGGAGGCTTACGATCAGCTGATCCCAGCTGGAATCTTTAAGGGCTTCCAGCTTCCTAGGGGAGTGTCGGACCGGGCCGTGAGTGTGCAAGGGGTTGTACGCGAGCGTAAGGGTCGTGCGCATCGGTCAGGAAGACTTCTGGGGATCATAGGTCGCGAGATCTGGACATGCGTCGGCGGGTGTATGCGGCATTCCCAAAATTTTATCCTCAAAATCGTTTTTTTATTACATCTTAGTATCTAATGAATATTTTTTAATAACCAAGTGGAGAATATTTGCTGTCAGAAGTCTAAGATATTAAGCATATTTATGGTCTAGGAGGTTGTAACTTTCATTTTATATACTTTTAGACTAGATTTTTATTCATTTGTGCCTTGAAAACCACGGTACGAACTCGAAAAAATTTAGAAAAATATTTCTGTTTACTATATCAAATATTCATGCTAACGTTTTACAGGATTTCTTAAATATAGACGCTGCCAAACACTGTTAATAACCCCTTCAAGTAGTAGACCGTATTTAGTGATTAAACGTTAACTTTTTCCTTAAGATTTATTTGGAACAGAATATAATTTATACCAAAATTAAGTATATTGTATATTTTGTGATGGTAAACGTCGAATTAGCGCTAATAGCCTAACCTACTGGCTGCCTGCGGAGGCAGCACTTACCGGTAGACGAAAAATGTAATGAGGGAATTCGGCACGTGACGAGGCGGAACGCGCGCCATTGAAAACGAACCAGTGAACGATTAGCCATCGAAACGCTTAGCCGAAAATGCAAAATCAGCTACCGATACGTTAGCCGGAGAGTCGAGGATCAGCACCCGATCGCTAAGCTGTGCGAAAGAGATTGTCGTTGTTCCCGAGCCATCCTGAGTGTCAACACGAGCTGACCCGGACCTGCAGGAGTCGTGCTGTATCCTGAAGGAATTGAGTGCGTGCGAGCGTGCGAGAGTGTGCGAGTGAGGAGTTTCGCCATCGAAGGCGAAACCAAAACACGCGAGTTACCTCGAAGCGATAAAGACAGACTTTGCCGTAACCGGAGTGTGAATTTGTGCTCCTGGTCTTCGTGCGACTGCTAAAAAGGTAAGCTGGCCAGCTTAATTTCGCGGTCGCGATATAATTGCTACACGACTAATCCCTCGACTCGACAAAAAGCGTGCATGTAACATCTTGGCAAACAAAGAGCGGCGAGCGATCCGACACTGCATGTTGGTGTTGTGCGCGCGGCATGTAAACATAAACACGCGGGCCGAATATGATGTAATGTTACGAGGTAATAAAAGTTCTCGTATGTGATGTTAACAGTATCTTCGAAGTGTTCTTCTCGTATTTGTAGTTAGTTGGTTGACTGACACCCGTTCCCTCCTGCTCTCCGATTTTTGTGTTTGATGTAAGTAATGACGCACGCCCATCAGTATGATCACGCGAATAAATTAATTAAACGGAATACCCACCCCGTTACAATTTATTGCAATTGTAGTATTAAACGATCAGCCCTACACGTGGATTACCAAATATTCGATATTTGTGATGAATATTTTTCAATGAAACTGATTAAAAATTATTTCTTATAAGATTTATATTATTATTTTATTTTCATAGTTAAGTTACAGTATCTTTCTCCATAAACTGTTGACAATAATGATAATCTTCAAAAAAATGTTTAAAACATAATGATTTTTTACACCAATCACATCGTATAATAACAATATTGTTACATTCTTTTATTTCGCACTTTATATTGCAAGAATCTCCAAGACTAAACTCAACAAGATTTTCAAATTTATTCCGTTTTTCAATAATATAACTGTTTTCGTACCAGAAATATTTAAACA